GGGTCTGTTGTTTTGGTGTTGTGGTTTTTTTGTTTGGTTGTTTTGTTTTTTTTTTTTTTTGTACTAATAGTCCAGCACAAGCAGTTCAAATGTCAGAAATTCAAAACAAAGCCTTGGTCCTGACACAGAAGGTCACTTTTTTCCACCTCCATCCAGGAGATGGACAGCAGATCTCACCCTTGGCTCCTGCTCGTGCCAAGGTTTACCTTTGGGATCTGGTGTGGTGGTTTTCCTGCTAGATTACAGGGGTCCAGCAGGAGAGAAGGGCGGAGCGGTTCTTTCTTTGAAAAGGGCTCAGAAGAGGCACTGCTCTCTGTTATGTCCTGCAGGGAGAGGCTGGATCCCAGTTATGCACTTTGGGAAAGCGATAAGGAATGCCTGTCCCCAAAACAGAATTGCTGGGATCTGGGGCTTGCTTTGCTCCTTTCTCTGATGCACACAAAGCCCCCTAAGGAGGGAAGCACACATGATTGAGCATGAACATTGCATTTTCCCCGTGATTTCAAAAAGACTTTACTGAGGTACACTGCGTAAGGATCTGGCCTTTATGACATTTACACCAGATTTCTGTTTCCAGTTCGTTTCTCTCATTTTATTTTGAGTAAGTATGCAAAGTCAGTCAGAACTGTTTATTTATAGCTGTAGATTTTCATGGCTGTACAAATTAGATGTTATTACTGAATGAGATGCCCGCCCACTCACCCAGTGCAGCTGTACAGGAATCCTTTCATGCTGCTCCCCGGTACACAGTCACAACCGGGAGGAAAATGACATGCTCCCAGTCAGACCAAGGGACCGCTGCTTAAACCCTCGGGCAAAAAAACAGCAATTAATTTTTTCCGCAGTAGAGTGTGCAGTATGACAACCACAATTACCTAATACTGTTTAGATCTGCCACTTCTACTTGGTAGAGAGAAAATGAAGATTTAAATTCACCACAGCAAAACACCCCAAACTAGAAGCTACCCCTGAACTTCCTTTATACAAGATTAAGCAATTTTTCTTTGGAGGGAGTGAGGGGATGGGGACAGTCAGGGGAAGTAAAAGTAAAATTGGTTGTTATTTGAGACAGAGCACCATCAGAAAGTAAGGACCTGTCCCATACACACACACACAGAGCTATATCCAGCAGAAACAGCTGGAAAACAATATCCACCACGATTAGGAGCTTTCATCTTAGCTCACACCTTTGTAACAGTTTACTCCAGCAAAAAGCATAGGCAAGTGCTAATTTATTCCCTCCCCAATTTCCCACACAAATTTCTTGGTTTGGGTCTCTGCCAGAGCTTCAAGGTCACAATATGACCTCAATAACATAATTTAGGATTGTTCCAAGACTTCAGTGAAACTACTGAAGATTTACTTTGATGGATATGGGGCTGGGATCTGGCATGCTGAAAATAAGCATTTACATTCTACCAAAGTGTCTAAAATAGTTGCCCAGGGAGGCTGAAATTCAATTTGAGACCTTGTATTCACTTGGCAGAGCACATAATTAAATATTTTGTGCCACAAGATTAACCAGAGAGTCTCAGGGGTATTGGTAAGAGGAGGCTTAGAATCAACCATGAGAGCCAAACTAAGTCGCATTTCCCAGGCAAGTTATTCAGTAAATACTGGAAAAAAATCATTGCATTCATATATGGGTTCATAATAAGTTTTGGTAGTATTTAACCTTACTGATTATCTGGTTACCTCAGAGGAAGAAGTTTTTGGCTGTGTGGATTCATATCAATAACCTCAATAACAAGTTCTGCTCTTGAACTAAAGCCATTGCTTACAGCTAAGAACTGTTTGTGATTGAATTAACCATTTGGAAAAAACAGCAAGTAAAAACCAAATGTAATTACAATAGGCCAGACCTAGTAACAAGTGGTTGAAAGCTCCGAAGTGAAATTTTTGCCTTTTTAAAGTCTCCAGAGGCCCTACCCTGCAAAGAGTTCAATGTTTCTGAAAAGCAAACCCAATGCCTAAGGTGTTCGATGTCGATACACTTTAGTTTACCTTCCAGACGTTGGGGTTTAAAAACCTGAGTTTGAGTGAAACCTCTAGGTTTTACTAGAGGCCCAATAATAGTTCTGAGCTATAACATTTAATAATAATATTTAGCATTTCAAACATCACCTTCTATCAAACGCTCTCAAAACATTGAAGCAAACCTGCAAGTTCCTTTCACTTTGAGAGGGTAGTTTCCCTCACTACCTGGGGAACAGCAGAAATATAAGGAAATAACGCTTTTTGCCTACACCCGAGGCAAACAGAACTACCTCCTCTGGGTATGCAGAACCATCTGGTTTTGCTGTGGGTAAGGACTATGTACCTCAAGGAGACCAAGACGGAAACCTACACATACCAACATATACCTGCTTTTTTTTTGTTTTGAGGTGTTCATTCAAGTTTGCGGCACGGAACCACCTTGCAACGATGCCATCGCCCGCTGGTGGGTGAAAGACACGTTTGTCTCTTAGTCTACTAACAGTTAACGCACTACAACGCACCTGCCACTCCTGCCTGTGTTTGGAAACACCAGTTTGGGCCTTCTGCTGCTTTTCACAGAATCACTAAGGTTGTAAAGGACCTTCAAGATCATCAAGTCCAACCATCAGGATTTTCTTCCACATCAGGATGAAAAGCCCTGGCGGCAGCATCCCCAGGCTCCAACGCAGCCCATAAGCACGCCGCACAGCACACGCAGGCCGGGGAAAGCGTCCGCCTGTGAAGAGTTCAGGCCTCCGGCCTACAACCCACACGCTGCCGCAGTGGCTGTCCCCAGGCTGGGAGGTGACCGCTCCCCACGGCAGAGGGGATGGCGGCGGGCAGCACGCCTCCCTGCCTCGCTGGCGGAGCCCTCGCCCACCGGCCTGCGAGGACTCGGGCTGGTCTAGTCCAGGCCCACAACTCCCAAAGTCACAGGAAGAGCCTCAGCTCTGGAGTCGGGCGCTCGCACGGGCTGTGGTTACGCGACGGTTACATGTGGCGTGGCGCGGCCACAGCGGGGCTCGGCCTGCCCAAGCATCGCAGCGGGGAGCGAGGACGCGCGTGTGTGAGAGGAGCTCCGTGCTTGTCAGCATTTGTTTCCGCCAGGCTTTCCTCGAGAGGGACGATTTCAGAAGCGTGCCTCCAAACGGGGGAAAACAAACCCCAGACAGACAAGCCCACACTTTAAAGTGGAGGTATTGCCACCGCCGGGCTCTCACGCCCCAGTAAAATGGACCAAAATTCAGCACCGTGGTTCCATCGAAGGTTCTGACATTTTGACCGTTCGAATTTTTTCCGTTTCCAGAG